GTATTAGGTATTTGACACTGACAGTTCTGAATAGTGAACGTTTAAACTTCAAATATCGAGGGTACTATGACGTAAACTCGTATCTCAGGAAACACTATTTTACAGGAGAGACAAAAAACATTTTATTAGCTAATAGAATCAAAAATTTTCGATTATAGTTAATATGAAAGTTTTATTGCTTCCTCATCAATATATAATATACTAATTATTCTTGAAAAAATATTTCAAGTTTGATTTTTTGTTTAAATGGTAAAATACGAGTTTACGAGTGAAATGCTTATTACGAGGTTTTGTAGGTATAAATAAACAGCCTGAAAACAGTCTAACAAGGGAGAAATGTTGCTTATGAGCACTTACTTGCGGGAAATGAGCCTACATCTACAAAACAAAAATTTATCCAGGCTGACAAAAGATTTAAAAAAATTACAATAATGATCATGGCGCAAATAATAGGAATATTATTGAAATTTTAAGAGAAATTTCATACAATTACAAAATGACTGCTTAAAATTTAGTTTCTATGAAATTGTATATATTTTATTTTAGAAAATAAAACAGTAATAGTACTCGTAATAATATATGTTTAATTTCCTTGCGCCCAAATGTCCCCGCGCCCAAATAGCTCGCGCCCAAATGTCCCTGTGCCCAAATGTCCCCGCGCCCAAACGTCTCCGCGCCCAAACGGCCGCGCCCAAAAGGTAGCGCCCAAACGGTCGCGCCCAAATGTACTAGACCGGTTTGGCCGTTTCTGGTTTCTTGTGACATAGTCGGACATGAGTTCCCCATTGTACATGCCAATTTTGTTCAAGTGTCCCTTTACTGGGGCATGCCCAGTCATGAACTCTGTTATCACTTTCAACTAGTTCCTATTCATAAAGAGTAGTTCTCAAGTTCTTTTGGGACATAGTCTGCCTATGAAGGCTTTTCCATGTGCCTGTTTTGGGGTGCTTCCCCAATAGATGATATGTTGTTTCCAAATCCAGTCGTTTATGAAACCCCGGACTGTACTTTTTGGTACTCTTGGGTTTGTGTCTGGTTCCGGTATTTCTTCTGACCCTCTTTTTGCAAGTTCTGCCTTTTCGTTGCCTTCGATCCCTTGGTGACCTGGCACCCAAAATGGTTTTACTCTATTTCGGTCTGCCAGTGTTCTTAGTTCTTCGATGAATTCCCATACCAGCCTCGACGTAACTTTCTGACTCGATATGGCCTTAATTGCCGCTTGGCTGTCTTTCATTATTTGAGTATGCTGATTTTCGACAGCTCTTTCATTGTTCGGTTTTGTACATTGCAAAATTGCATATACCTCGGCCTGAAATACCGAGGAATGTATTCCTATAGCACAGCTATGGTTAGTATCAGGGTTTTTGGAAAATACTCCTGCCCCAGTGCCTTCCGCAGTTTTAGACCCGTCTGTATACCAGGTTTGTTCCTGTCGTTGGGCATTGGGCTCCCTTATGGTGATCTCCTCTCTTTCCTGTATTTAAACCTCAAATGGAGTATTAAAAGAGTACCTCTTGGTTATGTGGTCTGATCTCATGTCTAGCACGTCTCGGGTCACTAACCTTGAGATACTCATGTGACCTGGACTAATTTCAAGATTTCCCAGTGTATTCCCTAATCTTTAAGCAGATAACCTTGCCTCCCCTTGTATCACATAGTGAAGAGGTGGGAGTCCTATTAGTGCTTCCATTGCAGCAGTGGGGGTTGTTTTCGTTGTCCCCGTTATTCCGAGGCAGGCAAGTCTTTGTACCTTGCTTAGCCTCGTTATTGCTTTCCTTTGGCCACCACACCAAAGCTGCGTATGTTAATGTTGGTCTCACCATACCATGTTATAAAGCCAATATACCATGTCTGGTTTAAACCCCCATTTTTTTCCAAAGAATCGCCTTGCAATCATTAACGAGGTTTCCGCTCTCCTTGTGATTTTTTCTAGATGCTGGTTCCAGGTAAGTCTCGATCATAACCCCAAGATATTTTACCTCCCCCTTAAGCTGGATGCTTGCACCTCTTAGGTTTAGAGGCCCTAGTCCCTCCAATTTCCTCCTGTGGGTGAATGCAATTATGTCAGATTTGTTTGGGCTACTGTTTAGTCCTTCCGCCTGTGTTCATTTTGTAACTATATTTAGAGCCTCTTGCATTCGATCTCTTACTATAGTGTTGTATTTTCCCTGTGCCATGATCACTAGTTCATCGGCATATCTCAGGGTTCTATTTCCCGTATCTTTGAGAGTCCACTACAAAAATGATCTCTTACTTTAACATCGCCTGCCTGAAAGGTCTAATCGCAAATAGAGCATATAGTCGATGTAGTAAAATCTTCTAGTTCGCCATTATATAGTTGGTGCATAGGAATAATGTCTTTTAAATACGTATTATAAATAGTCAAAACATCGTCCCCTAATCGTTTCACGAAATCGCTACCGGCATTATTACCCATAAAAGTTACAAATTTCGCCGATTAATTATCAAATGAACATTTAATTAAATATGCAAAAGAATATGGCTCATGTTGGTATGTAGGGATAGTAATTTTTTTTACTACTAACATGAGAAATCACCATTATTTGCTCCATTCCTCTAATGAGAAGTAATATTTCTCACCCTAGGTAAATAATGATAATAAAAAAACACCTAGGTAAATAATGAAACTAAATTTCATTAGTTTCATTTTGTTAATTTGACAAATAAACTCCCAGACTACTTGATATTTTGAAATATTTGAAAAATAAGTAGGAAATAACTAAAGCTTAGTTTATTAAAATCTAATCAAATCAAATATGATAATATATATCAGTGTTAATAGTAAAAATATATATTAACTAGGAAATTCAACACTGGTAATAGGCTTCAAAAATTATTAATTAATACCAATAAATGCATGTCACTAAAATTTTTACATAAATAAAGCCAGTCTGATTAGAAACACGCTCCACTCTGCTTGATATTTCGAAATATTTAACAAATTGTTAGGAAATTACTTATGTCAAAATTAAAATTGCTAATGTAATAATGTTAGTAGTAAAAAATATTCTATATATACCTCACCCTAGGTATATAATGTACTATTTCTGGATCTGGTTCGCAAATATCTTTAGGTTTTAAGATCGATTCAAAATCAGTATAAATTACCCTTAGTTGCTTATCATAATTTTTCAGGCACATAATTGCCGTGTTTGTCTTTTTTCGGCTCTATTGATGGCGTGCAGGTATATATATGATTACAATCGCGCAACTGATGCCGCAATAGGGCGCTTTCAGACGGAAAATGAAGTTAACATCTATCACAAAAAAAATATCTGAAAAGACTATTATTCCAACAGTAGTGACTATTACTCGAATCATCCGTTATTAATAATATTAGTAGTATGATTTTTTTTTCGATTTATGGCCTAGGTGTATATACCTAATATGCCAGTCTCAAGTTTGTGTTTAAATTCTAAATCACGTGTGTTCTGTGTAGGCTTTGTTACTGTTTCCCAGCGCCACTTCAGGAACAGCACTGTTAATTAGAACCCAACAGTGAATGGTTGAGTGGGGAATCCTACCAAGGCATCAGAATTAATTTTAAGTAATTAAATTAAATAAAAAATTCCCGGCCAGCGGTGGGATTCGAACCTGGGACCCTTGGATCCACAGGCAGAGACTCTACCACTGAACCACCCACCCTCCTAGTAGTATGATGATGACCTAACCTTCTACGGGAATATCGTAATGGGCCAACTATCTCAAATTTCACCTTACTATTTTTATAACTACATTCTAAGCCATAAACATTAACAATTATATCATTTAAGTCTTCAAATTTTGAAATGTCTTTAAGCTTCATGGAAAATTCAATACCCGCAACATTCAGAACGGTCTCGAAGTGTGGATACGATGATGTTTAGCTAACATTATCTCTCGCTGGATATAGTGCCGATGTGATGGCCCAAGCAAAGCAATACGTATTATTATTTTGCACATTAACTAGGCCCTTCTTGGTTTCAATAAACTTGGGGAGCTTTATATACGAACAGCCGCCTATTGGAGAGTACTTATTTATGTTTACTTCTAAAAATAGTAATGACCACCCTAAAACAATGAATACTTTATTAGTTAACACTATATTAAACATTAAAAAACTGTTACCCCTGAATCCTTATGTTGAAAGTCCGCAGTTTGAGACACCGTGCCGTCGTTAAAGTCTGCATATACCGCATCCAATTCTGTCGATAAATCTAGTATTCGATTTATGCCGTTAAAAAATATAATTTCGGAAATATCTTGGCTCTGCAATACGTGGATAGCGAAGACCTCTACATTAACTTTAATGACATTATGGGCCCTCAGAATAACTTTTAACATTTCCAATATTCTAAATTTTATTGCATCAAAAAATGTTATATAATCTATATGTTTTTCATCACTTTTGACTCTGTAACTTGCGATTCTGGACTTAAACGCACTCTGAATTAAATATATACCATCGGCTTGAATTGTGCAGGCTTTTTCTTTATGGTCAAGACTCCTCATATGCGATGATATCTGATTCGTAGGGATGTCTACATCACGTAATTCACATCTCCCATTATTCCTTTGTGAGTCTACGGTGCGATGTGTATGTACTTGTAGAACTCGCACTACCCGGGATTTTTTAGGAGTAGAACATCAGGGACGGAAGTGGCGGATCTTTTCGTTCCTCTGGATGATTCACCAGTGCGATTAAATATCATCTTACAACTTTTATTTTGATGTCGATATAAATTATCTATCCTTGTAAATGTTAAACCACAATTACACTTATACATGTCTATTATTTTTACGATAATTTCGGTATTAGATAATGGAACTTTTGAACACTCTTAAAACTCTCGATTTTATACTGATTTAATTTGGATATGAACGCTACTGTATACCCTCTCAAAAAATTCCCACCTCTCCTATGCTTCCCTACACTATTCATAATATACTAGGATGAAGATGCGCGAAGGATGGGGTTTTTGTGAAATTAAGATGCTAAAACAGTTTAAGTATATTGTAATTCTGCATTATATGTGTGAATAACAGGATCTATACGTATTTTTACAAGGCAATATAAATTCACAGATGGTGTGTAAAATTACATGTGTAAAACGGATTTAAAAATATTGCATAACTACAAAATATTTGTAAATTAACCTATATACTTTTATTTTGACAAGATTATTGTAAAAGTCAGTTTATTTTATATTAATTACAGCAATAATGTAATTGTACAGAATTATTGTTAGATTACAAATGTAAAGCGAACTTATGGATAATGTAAATTTACAAGGTATTTGTGAGTCAACCTATATCTTTGAATTTTCACGAGGTTATTTTAAAAACACTTTTATCATTTAAAATTACATGGTAATGAGACTACCTACCATCATCTAATTTTACATATCTCTTGAAAAATTACAAGGTTAAAACGTACCAAAATAGTGTAAATCTATAAGCAATTTGAGAAATAATTCACGTAACTGTATTAATACTAAAGGTTCTGTGATTTCACCTTTGATTATTCCTCTAAAACTGTAAAAATACAAGTAAATTAGGTATACCTCAAATAAATTCGTATTTTCACATTAACAGTAGTTTTGGCAAAAAGTTTGTACTTTTAAGAACAATCGAATCCTTTTTACAGTAAAAATCACTGTAAGTTATATTTACAATCATTATGTTGTGAAACTTACAGTTATTATCAAAGTTTTTTTAAATTGTAGGCACCAAATTTATTTCAGTGTACTTATAAAGGTAAGTTATAAATACAGTTGTTTGATTTAGTCAAGTATAGAGGGACAATAATATAATTATTTAGTACCAGAGAACACAAAATCAATCCCACATAAAATGTGTAAAATGTGTGAGATATTTTTTTGTTACTTTTGTGCTATACAAGATTTGAGGAGTTGGATACCCTTCTTTAGTTAATATAATTATTATTCTGTATTTATTTTGTTTTATGTGAAGCATAACATCGATAAACTGATGAATATAATTTTATGGCTACTAGCAATTTGTTTAATGGTATTGAGTTCTTTATTGAAATTGTCCAAAGACAATGGAACTTGTTATATTAACCTGTGTAGCTAATCCGTAATGGATATGTCATGGTAAGTTAAATTATTATTAACCTTGCTTTTTGATCAATTTTTATTTTCGGTATTAAATACTTTTACTTTACAGTACTACTTTATGACTAATAATTTAGATGTGCTGACTTTGTAAGATATAAAGGACCTTTTTCTTTATTTTTTATCTTCTAACTCAGTCCCTACTACTCATATATGGCTCAATAAAGAATGTTGATGTCTTTCAAATAACCACGATACTTGTATTACTAGATTATGTTGTTCCAGCTTACAATTTAAGAATCCTTTAATAATTTCAAAAACAAAAAAAAAAACAGGCAAAGGAAACATTATAGACATTTTACTTTATTTTTTCCGTGGAATCAAAAGGCGGTGAGCGGATAAATGATCGAAAGTCAAAATGTCGAAAGTAACAAAATATCGAAACCAATAAAGATTAAGAGTAGAACAAATGATCGAAATCGCATATAGACCGTCAGATAGTGACCGATTTTGGTGCCCCATTTTCGCATACAAGTCTCGAAGAGGTTGAAAAGTACATCGATGTTGAGTAGAATAAAAGAAAATTTACGAATGGCTCTTGGGGATAACACATGGAAAATTCGATTTTCCTTATCAGAAAAATTTTCCGACCTCAAAGTGTATTTATACATTCGGGTCATTCAGGAAAATATGTGTTTCGGACTAGTGATGACGTTCGTTTTCATACATTCGATGGGCTTGTGTGGTAAAATCGGGCAAAATCTCGATTTTTCCTTAGAAGATTACCCCCTTATTTCAACCCTTTAGCCACTTGCAACATTAAAGCCATTGGTTTTCTGAAGCCTAGTTCCATTAATTAATCATGTAATGAAAACGGCTTGAGTGGAAAAATGGGCAACAAATAACCTTTCATTTTTGTTAAGGAAAATCGAATTTTCCATGTGTTATCCCCAGCAGCTACTCGTAAATTTCCTTTTATTCTACTTAAAATCGAAGTACTTTTCAACCCTCTTCGAGGCTTGTATGCGAAAATGGGGCATCTAAACCTGTCACTATCTGACGGACTAATACGATCGAGAGTACAAATTATCGAAATCAAATATGATAGAAGGTATAAATGATCGAAAGTACAAATGATCGGAAGTACTAATTATCGAAATAATATATGATCGAAATGGAATAAGATCGAAAGCTTTAAATTACGAAATTAGTTGTTGCTTACTCAAAATAGCGCCTAACGAAACAGCGCCTGAGCGAAATAGCGTTTATTAAAATAGCGTTGCATATTGAAATATGGTCCAGCAAACTAAGACCTGATTAAAACAGCGTTGTTTTTACTATTTTACCTAACAGGTGCGACCTGGAGTTATGCGGAATATTTCGCAAAAAATGTTTACATAATATGATTAATACAAAACAACTGAATTTCCCAACCAGTAAAAGCTCCAGGCCACACAAGTTTGGCAAATTAGTTAAGTTTTCTTTTACTTCTTTCGTTTTATGTATAAATTTGTTTTGTGACCAAATGATTGTCCTTTTCTTTTGTACTTTTCGATCTTTTTTACGTTCGGCTAATTGTAATTTCGATCATTTAAAGTTTCGACCAATTGAAATTTCGACACTATCAAATATAGGGTGTTTCAATAACCATACAACTGCAATATGTCTTCCGATAAAAATATAAAAATATAAAAATATATATACTAAACACTATTATTGCTTAAGAACGCTTCTGCTTTTCGTTTCTGTTCTCTCTTTTTCGCTTTGGTATCAGATAGTTTAGAAGATAAACGAAATACAATAAAGAGTATCGTTATAGAGGAAACTACAATTATAATGATATTCATCGTCGAAGTAGTCTTAAAACTGTTTGGTACCTTACTTCTAGCAACATAATCGGAATCTATCCAACTGGACCAAGTGTTATTCCAGTTGATAGGATTCGCCCTGGGATCTCGATCTTCGTTTAGGGCAGGCACTATGTTTTTCCTATAATCCATAAGAAGCTTTTCTAGTTTTCTTACGATGTTCGGTCTAGATTTAGCTAGATTTACTCTTTCGCAAGGGTCTTCCTTTATGTTAAACAAACACGGGAGTTGGAGATTACATTTATTCTCTTCTAGTTGATCTTCAAAATTAAACGGCCCGCAAGTAACTATGGCTTGCGTTCTTAACGTTTCAATATCATTTTTATCGATTATTTTAAGTTCTCTTCTCTTTCTCCTATTTGAGTGCTTGTCTTTAATCTGTTGGTCGGTTATTAGCCCAGCGAAGGCTGCCGCTGTTTTTGAAGTTAATATTTGGTCGACGTCGTAAGAATATTCCTTTTTTTTGCCGTCATTTCCGAACCACGAATTCTTTTCTTTGCCTGTAGAGCCGTATATATATTTCCAATCACCTTGTCTAATTGCTCCCCACTTCCTAATAGTATCGATATTGTAGACCATTTCTGTTCTTGGACTCTCTTTGTCTTCGGAAATCGATTCCCACATATCTAGGCCATCAGTATTTGGAATTTCCGTTTTATTTAAACCTAAAAGTAATTGTGATTGTTAATTTCATTAACGCTTTGACAGTCAAAATATTTTTACCAGCTATGGAGTAGAATGTTGGTAACCAGTCTATGATATGTATCAACCGATTGGAAACTCTTTGAGGTTTTTGAATAAGGGGACTCCATATTGCTGCTAGATTTCTGTTACCTCCTTCCCATGCCGTTTGTTTTTTCTGAAACATTATTTTAATAGTTATTTTTCTTTCTCACATTTTTTATACAATTTTTTATTTTTATTTTGTTATCCATGGGTAGTAGTAATAGAATGAGTTAAAGTGATTTTAAAAAGAAGCTATATATGAAGAAAACACAATGGACCAAAAAGTTGTATTTTACTTGCTTAAACTGAAAAAAATATATATATAAAAACTGCAAAAAGTCAGTGGCGTACTTTTTTTCAATAATATTGGCTGTGGTGCCCACTAAGCAGCCACTGGACCCAATCATTTTAATATAATAATTGCACCAACTTTAAACCAAATCGGTTTAGGAATATGTATAATATTCATAAAAACCCTTTTTTAACTTTAACATCCTGTATCTCAAAAACGAAGCAACTCCGGACATATGTTTATTGGAACTTTTTCATAAAACGACCTAAGAAAGCACCCTGTGAAGTTTCGTACTGTAGTTAGGAAACGCCTGTAGTTCAGATTATTGTTTGAGAAAAATAACATACAATTTTACGTTGGTGAATTACCATTAGGTCCTTGGCAGATAATTGTGCGCGATACCTTTAGAAAGTATCTGTAAGTATGATTTGTAAGGCTTTATGTAAGTACCTATATAAGATGAGTAAGTATAATTTTTGCAATTGTATGTAAAGAGTGGCACAAAATTGATCGAAAACATTTGATCGAATTATAAAGTTTTTGAATGACATTTGATCGAAAATATATTTGATCGAATAACATTTGATGGGAAACAAAATTTATCGAATTAAGGCGAAATCCAACGGCGCGTGGATCGGATAATCACGAGCCATTAGAATAAACTGGCGCGGCTTGGTCTTTCCTGCGTGTTGTCGGTAAATTTGATGCGAGTTAAAGGAAGTCTAGGCTGGCCTAGTCAGGCTAGGGGATCTTTAATAGGGAAATGCTTACTCGTGTTGTAGTACTGTGCACCACCCATAGATGGCGCTACTTTACACAAAGTTTGCTCGTTGCATTCGTCGAGCAGATTCAGAGTGTATTCAGAGCAGGTTCAGAGTAACGCAAGTGTACGCAAGTTGTTATTTAAAACTTTCAACAGCTATTCATAGAAAAAAAAACGCTATTAATGGCAATAATGGTAATGGTTGATTTGTTTTATTAGGTTAGTTATTCGAAGAGAATTTTTAAAGCTTTAAACATATATAATTATGGTGCGAATTCGTCCTTGTGCTGATCCAGATTATCAGGATAAAGTTAGTCGCAGGTAAGGAATAAATTTACAATTTTATTTCTTTACAAGTAAAAACTTCTTTTTGTATTTTATTCTTAAATACTCTGCCAAATTTTAAGAGCATATATTATTACTTAAAAGTACCCAATTTGTGAAATAAATTTCCAAAATAATGCGGGTAACCTAATGTTTTCTAGGAAAAATTACAAATCTTAACCTAACTTTTATCATTTTCTATACAATTTCAGTAACTAGATAAAATATGTGAATATTAAGAAGATTAAAATAAATAGTGTTATTAGTATTTTTTTAGAATTATACAATATGTAATGGATACTTTATAGTAGATACTTATATACAATTTTTTTTCCGAATTCAAAATGAGGTACTTTTCAAACATACCAATAATTGTATATTTTATATTGTGCGACACTTATTATTTTTTGCTCCATATACTGTAGGCGAGTTCGGTCAGTCAGGGGCTGGAGCGGGACAAATTTGAACTTGGCAGACCGAAGGCAATGTGTGACCTACCTCATAATATATTGATTCCAATTAATAAAAGTTGCATTCTTACTAAATTCAAATTCCTTCATTTTATTGAAAAATCTTCTACAATATATTTTAAGAAATGCCGATTCATTCTCACTAGCTAATAAATTAATAGCTCAGCTGAATTGACTCAAAACAAAAATAATAAAATTGAACTTTATATTTTTTAACTGATACTCTTCTTCATTTTTTACATGAAAACGAATCAGCAAACACTGCAATAGGAAGTGACAAGTACACCCAACAGCAGCCAGAGCCAACTTTCCCCAGGAACTTTCGTTACAACCACTAGTGGATACAACCATGGGTGAACTTCGTAATAGTTTTATATTCATATTTCTTTATTATTGTGTACTGTAATAAGAATTCGTGCAATTTTAATTCTAATAATAAAAAATATATGGTTATAATCGTGTTTTACTTCATAATAAGATGTATTTTTTGTTCCACAAATCCAAAATTCTAATTTTTCGTTTTCTTTTTAACTTAAAATATTTCAAATTTTATCTATCACAGAACATAACCCAATGGATTATATCCATCTAAGTATGTTGAGTGAAGAATAAAATGTTTGAATCATTTTAAGTAAAAAAGAACGAAAAATTATAATTTTGAAAACTTAGTAGTGGTTTATTAGAAAGGCCGAGTTTGAAAAACCCGCGCTCATTGACCCCTACCGCCATCTATATAATAAATCTTGAACAAAATTTCAATTATTAGTTATCTTCTTTTTTTTTAACTCAACTATTTGCAACCGCTACGGATGGCGCTGAAAGATGAGTAAAATTTTTCACTGTTGAGTGGCCCATCTTTAAAGGGTATGGTCTGTGGGCCTAGTCTTGTAGGTCTCGAGCCGAAACACACGTCGTGGGATTATATTCACTTGCCGAGCCTTGATGATCGAGCCGTGCCATGACGAGCCCGATCCACAGACCAGGCTCGCAAACCACATGTCACGGGAATCCGCCTTAACATATTATCTAGAAGTCAATAAATCTAAAATGCAGTAGATCGAAAGGTCAAAATATCGAAAATCAACTATTGTGTCACGAAATTGCGCTGAATAAAATAACGCTTATCAAATGAGCGCATAAACGAAATAGCGCTTATTACAATACCCTTAGTCAAAAAAGCGCCTCGAGCCATCACGGGATGTTTCGCATTGTTTTACATAAAATTATAAAAACCTAACTAATTTACCTAACCTTTGTGGCCTGAAACCTTCACGGGTTGCTTTAAAAAAAAAACTTATAAATAAAATGTAAGAAATTAAAAAAACACTAAAATAATTTACCTAACCTGTGCGGCCTGAAGTCATCGCGGGTTGTTTCGTAAAAAATATACATAAACAGAGACAAATTAAAAAAAATACTTAACTAATTTACCTAACATGTGTGGCTTGGAGCCATTGCAAGTTGGTCCCAAAATAAAATTATACAAAAAAAATAAAAGAACTAACTAATTTTCCTAATGTGTGCGGTCTGAATTCATTTAAATTTAATCGATTGCTCACGCACTGGTTAGGTAAAGTACGAGTAGTTAAGATTTTTTCTTATTTTTAATATATTTTATGCGAAGCAACCCGCGATGGCTCAAGGCCGCACAGTGTATCGTGCATTTTTAGCCGCTTAAGTTACTAGATAAAATACAACTCAGCTCGTTTAAATATACGCAAAAAAGGTAAAACGTTATTTATTGTTGATATCAGCTTTGGGAGCTATTATTTTTGATGTAAACTAGCTGTATGTATTGTGAACATGCAGATATAATCAATATAATTTAATACATCTCATCAATAGATGTGAGGATGGTATTTCATCCCTAGTACAATACATTGTATTCGCAGTATCGTTATTTTAGACTGGGTTGTTTCAATTTGTTAGATTCACCTAAAAGTAAACAATGTTTTATTGCGAGTTGTCTTATATATACCTTACCTCTAGGTAATTAATTAATATCGAATTTGTTTACTTTTTGTTCAGAGTAATTATCTTAAGTCAATGATACGGTCCGAATATTTTGTATAAGTATATTTTGTTGGATAATATTTGATATTAAATGTCAAGCGGACGGGACACGTTAATACGCTAGTTCAGTGATGATGTAATTATGGTTCCACTGACAATTAAAGAGACAGTAGTTTTTTGAGTGCGTCTTGTTCGTTTTGTTTACCTAAATTATATTGTTTTTTCACTTTTATAAATACATTTCTAAAGTAAGTAGATAACATGCATCAAATATACATTTGTTTAGTTACTAATTACATACCTTTAAACTATTTTTTATGACCTGTAAACAATATTTAGAAATAAACTAAAAACAGTAAAAACGTATATATCAAATGTATTGATGTTTTTGTTAAAAATTTGGTTAGAATTAAATGTCAGTGGAACCAAAATAATACCGAACTAGTGTATTATCAGTGTCGAGGTACTGAATGTCATTCAGTCTTGTTTCGAGTTCCGGGCAATGAAAACTTCACAGTTGGTGATTTGAAGTCGCGACCTGTCGCGACTCACTATACGAGGTGTGTTCATTTAATTGTAGATTTGTTTGCGCCTAGGAGATTTTTCGCGATCAGTTTTGTACCGATTATCGTCAGGAGCTATTTCCAATGGTAGTTTTATTGTACATATATTTTGTAAGGCTAATCTTTAGTAAATAATATCCATGATATATGCTAATAAATTCTTAAGGATGCATTTCTGAACTCACTCGGCTTGTCATTTTTCAAAGCGGAAGTGAAGACTTCGTGGGAGGTTTGTTGGTTAGGTGCTCTTTGATAGGTAAAGAAAGCAGAACAACCCAAGTTTTGTCTCGTGGGTGAAATATATATTTTCTATAACCATCGATTTATATATTAAAAGGGATTTTAGATTTTACTCCAGTATTAATTGTGTACACCTTTCGAATATCGATTTCTTTTATGTTGTGGCTTGGTACACCATAATTTTAATTATTGCAATACATAATACTGTTTATGATACTTGGTGAGTCAATGTAATTTTTCGTTCATCCTGGGTACTTAATAGTTTCTAGCTTAGGTACATTTGGAGTAATGAACTGTATAGTTTGGAAAATTTGAGTCAATTTGTATTGACACATTTTGTAATATTTTAAGGGTTCCCTAAAGGGTTTGTCACTCCAGAGATCAACGGTTTGCACCCGAAGCGTTCACCGAGTTCAATCGGTTAAAGTACATCGGTTTATTAGAACAGTGGTCTGTATAATCGTGGTCCATTGGTTTACTATCCACCTGGATTACATATCGCTGTTTTACATGGATGGTTCTTTATCTAGATAGGAAGATGGTGATGCTAGAGCCACCCTACTATCAGGTTTTTTATATTATAATGAGGATTTCATATGAGCACTATGGCTGCTAATTTGTTTTAAACCAGTGTTTCTAAGGTATTCTCAACATTATTTATAATTTTGTACGCAGAATATTTTCTATTAATAACTTTTGTGTTACTAAATATTATTTCATAATTTAGTTAATTAAGCACTTAATACGTGAAATTAATTTTAAATTAATTTCAAATTTATTTTTAACAACTTCTTCATTACTCCCCGTAAATGACAAAATATTAAACGAAGATCGCTAGATTCCTTGTATTAGTAAGCTTTGCGCACGTGCTTAGCGTTTCTTCTGCATTCACGCTGAGATAAAACCGACTGGCGTTGATTCAACCGGCCTTTTTGGTTTATGGAGTTCAAAACTCAACGTAACAGTGTTGTGTCGACAAATCTAGTAGTTTGCAATTATTTTGAGTAGATTTAGATAATTATCGTGTGTCTTTCATATGTGCTTATGTCTTACCGTTGGGATAATTGTCAGGTAATGTTTTTTTCAACTAATATTTTGCCGCTTTGCTGGATTTAGTCGAAAGGCCGAAGTATCGGCCATTTACTTTTTTTGATTACCATCATGTTGACGAATGCCGGTTATTATTATTATTGTTTTATTTTATATAGATTATAGCTACCCTACCCAATAATATTTGTAGGCTCTCTTTGATATATACGCGGGGAGGCAACTAAATAATTGAATTACAAGTCAGTCTGGAAATACAGTATAAACGGAAATCTATGGCTCTTAACTTAGTTTTGCCTTATAAATAGTTTATATATTGTTCATATGATGTAAAACTTATGGTTATAATTTAGTTTGGTTTATAAATATTTTATATTATGTTCAGATGACGTAAAACTTATTGTTATAACTTATTTTGGCCCTGTCAATATTTTATAGTCTGTTCAGATGATGTAACTTTAATATTTATCCCGTTTATGCATAAGTCCGTTAGATTTCCAAACTGGTATGTAGATGTACTATTCCTGGTACTGAGGTTCTTTTTATTTCTAAACATGTAGTGGCTCAAAGCTCCGAGGTACGTAGCTTCCAAGCTCCAGGTTATGTAGCTTCTCCAAACAAGCTCCAAGTTTTCAAGTAATTTTCGACGTAGCTCTAAGTTACAAGTAACGTAGCTTTTCCTAACTCCAAGCTACAAGTAAGCTAGCTTCTCCTAACTCCAAGCTCGAAGCTTCCAAGTAATTTTCGATGAAGCTTCGAAGTAGTTTCCACGTAGCTTCTGTTAAGTAGTTAGATGTAAAAGGCCAAGTAGTTAGATGTAAGAGGCCAAGTAGTTAGATGTAAGAGGCCAGGTATAGACATTGGACATGGAAGGGTTGTCAAGTATCAGGTTGTCAGCGAATGGTGGGGAGAATAAATACTACGTTAAATTAATGTATTCTTTTAATTATAAAACCATCACCAGTTAAATTAAATTAATAAGCCAGACACTAATTAACAGCTTCCAAGTTCCAAGTTTCCACGTAGCTTCACGAAGCTCGAAGTACCTACTGTCGAAGTAGCCTCAATTAGTATCGGACAGACTTCATCTACCCAGAAGACGATTTAACAGGGAAGTGCCGCTGTGTAATGCCACATGGTCGAACCAAAGAAAACAATTTTTATTAATATTCAAGTTCATTCAGTCATCTAAGTCATTAATCAGTAAATCATTGTGTAACATTGCATTCTTTTCATTAAATGTATTAAATTTTCTCAATTTCTTTTATGTGCCTGAACTCGTAACACATAACTTGGGGTACCAGAGACCGACTCAATGAACCAGGCATGTAAAATTGGATAGTTTTTCCATAGTTCTTACTCAAAAACTTGGTGACGCCTAACATTATTTTGTCGTTGTAGTACCTATTATAGTATCTTTCATTTTATCGTAAAATAGACTTGGCCCACGAACCGGTCAAACTGCTCTGATTTTATTTGTCCTGGTCAATTTATGATTCCACGCAGTACCAGCAATTTAAACTAAATGACCTATTAAATATCTTTTACATCGAAGAATTCAAATAGAAGGTAACACACTTAATCGTCTAAATGGGAGCCAAGTATATTCAATCATTTCAAAATTTTGTTATTTAAGCACTTAGTGTATTGGTCTGGGTATTGACCTTAAATACCACGGGACATAAGGGCTACGTTCAACATTTAAATTTTTAGATTTATTATAAAAAAATATAACACTTAACTGAAAGTTAAGCAATCTCATAAGACCCATAAGGGGCCGAAATTAATAAAATAAACCCCTTCCAATTTGGGAGTTTCAGCAAATAAACTCTGTGTCTAAAGTCCTTTCATGTGTTTATAATATTTTTTTTATTTGTGTTTTATGATTTATATTTAATGATATGGTTTAATTTTCTTTATTAATAATTTTAATTATAAGTTAAGCAGGTAACTTTTTTAATTTGGGGAGTGTTAAAAGTTTCAACATTAAACGTTGATGGTTAGATATAGGTGCGGTTATGCACAAGATGATTTAAATTGTTGATTTTATAATTTATGTAAAAAGGTAGAAATTAAGATTTTTTTATATTCGCATATCTTGCGAAAACGTCCTTGGCAAGCAAACGACCGGCCTTGCCACCTGTTGATTATTATTTTTTTTTTGGGTTTACGCATATGATGACATATACATTTTAATTTCTTACCGTATTTAGTTATGTTAGTTTATTTAATTATGAATTTATCAAAAGCCATAGGGTAAATTATTTAAAAGGTTGTTAAACAAATTAAATTATGATTTTTTTTTAAAGTTAATTCTTGAACTCTAACTTTTGAGTTTGTTGTTTTTCTTTTGATAAACTTTATATTCGTTAGTTTCTTAAATATTAATTTTAAATTGTTAATAATAATTGGGAAAATTGGTAAATTTATTATAAAGCAGCATAAGTTAAGATGTGTCTTTTATTTCTTTCCTCATTTACTGGGTTTGTGGGGAAATAGAAACTTAATTTGGGCATTATATGAAGACCCAGTTGGCGCCCTAAATTTGTCATCTAAGCAACGTCGAAAGCCCGAAGGTTAATACCGGAATAACCGAAACTTGTGTAGCCGTAGTAGACAAAATTTTATTTTTATTTTTAAAGTTTAAGCAATTCCCCTCTGGAAGTTGCTTAAGACTTTTGGTAGGTTACAACAGGTTAGGTAAATTAGTTAGGTTTTTAGTTTTTCTCATTTGATGTATATTTAGTTATTCGATCAATTTCTTTTTTTATCAAATCTATTTTCGATCATATATCGTTTCGATCACTTTCCTTTTCGATTAATTGTTATTCGATATATTGTTCTTTCGATCAAATGTTTTCGATCAATATTGTGTCGCCCGTACGTAAGCACCTATAAAATATGAGTAAGTATAATTTTGTGATTGATTTTATGTAAGTACCTATAGAAGGTAAGTATAAGCGATATAATTTATGTCTTGCTGGTGGGTTGAGACTATTACTAATGTCCCGCTGATGGGGTAAGAGCGATACAAAACAACTAGTATGAAAAATTAATCGTAAATCGCTTTTTCGATTGGCCAAAATAGGTATAAAAAAATTTACAACCTAATGCAGATTGAAGATTTGACTTTATAGAAGCAAATGATGCAGAATCTAAGAGCAAAGTAGATAATTATGTCAGTCCGATATTAAGTACTCTCTCAATCAGTCCTTTAGAATTGAAGCATTTTATACATATAAAAGAGGAACTCACCCCTCTAAAGGGATAATTTGAACCAAAATCTGAGGCTCCGTTGTCCGAAAAAAAGAGAATCACGGAGTTTTGCAGCATTCGCTTTTCTCGTAGAGCCGCTATCACCGTTCCAACGCTTTGATCCAACATGGACACCATGGCTACAAAAAATATTTAATTAATTAAAAGATTCTATGAAACAGTTTGAGAAATCTTAAAATTATGAATATATTTAAACTACAATAAATATAAGGACCAGGTCAAGAGGGAATTAAAACTAGTAAGTGGCTTCAATTCCAATAGCAAGGTCAATGTAGGTACACACTTGTATAGTTTGGGTTATTTTTATTTTCTGCTGTTTTACTTTTATACCAACATTAAAGGAATCTAGCAGTGAGCAAGTACAGCACCGGATTTTAATATGATGACTTATTGATATATGATTTAATAGAATATTTTGTTTATATAAAATAAGTGTACCTACTTTAAAAGGGAATGAACAAAATTTTATAAAATAGTTTAATAATTCTTTGATAATAAAATACATTTGTAAAACAGGATGAACAAATGAAAATATATATATATTATAAGTTAGGAAATTTTTGGGGAATTTGGCAAATTACTTCACTAGTGAACTCTTTTAAATTTATTCCGAGCTTTCGAGTATGGTTATACTCATTATCAAGGAGCTACAAAAGTTAATAAAAGTTGTTGAAAAGACAAGTTAATTGATTAAGAAAGTTAAACTTACAACTCATTGAGGATGGTGTGTAAAAGATCATCAAATTAAAATTATTGGACATCACAGTTTTACAAAGACGGAAACTATTTTAAACGGACAAACACTTGATACATTATTTGTATTAATTGAAGAAAAAACACATCGACGTTTTATAAAATATGTAAAACAAAAAGCAACATGGCTAACGGCGTGGGTGTCACATGGTTGTGAACCTTGCGAAAAATGAAGTAAAATGTCATGTGTCAGTCAACCGTCAAACATGTCATCGGCGGAAAAGAAGAACGCAAGTGGCCTATGTCACCTTAGCACAAAGGGTACAACAATTCAGCCCATGAAAAGCATGACTGATGACTAACATATGAGAATATAAATTATAAATTTTATTATATTTATGTGTTTTAATTATTATAAGACTAATAATTATACGGAGGAAATTCTGATTTGTTTTAAAAATGTCACTGACTTAGCAGGCGACGTTGCCCTCTGAGTAAACAGTACGATACCCTTGTTAGGGTTGCTATCCCCTACCATGGATCATACTGATCACTGAATTGACAATATCACGAGCATAATCAGTGCATGTGGTTTTAATAGCAAAATTTGAAATTTAGTGTTAAATAGTCAATATAATAATTAATAATTTATATTCTCATATGTTAGTCATCAGTCATGCTTTTCATGGGCTGAATTGTTGTACCCTTTGTGCTAAGGTGACATAGGCCACTTGCGTTCTTCTTTTCCGCCGATGACATGTTTGACGGTTGACTGACACATGACATTTTACTTCATTTTTCGCGGGGTTCACAACCATGTGACACCCACGCCGTTAGCCATGTTGCTTTTTGTTTTACATATTTTATAAAACATCGATGTGTTTTTTCTTCAATTAATACAAATAATGTATCAAGTGTTTGTCCGTTTAAAATAGTTTCCGTCTTTGTAAAACTGTGATGTCCAATAATTTTAATTTGATGATCTTTTACACACCATCCTCAATGAGTTGTATGTTTAACTTTCTTAATCAATTAACTTGTCTTTTCAACAACTTTTATTAACTTTTGTAGCTCCTTGATAATGAGTATAACCATACTCGAAAGCTCGGAATAAATTTAAAAGAGTACACTAGTGAAGTAATTTGCCAAATTCCCCAAAAATTTCCTAACTTATTTCCTAACTAGTCGGCAAAGACTAAGCCTTAATTGGCTTTTATAGATATATATATATATATATATATATATATATATATATATATATAATTATCTTTATTTGAAGTGTCTTCCAGATTTATGATGCAAAAATGACCAGAATTAATATTTTTGACTTTGCGAATACAATTGGTCCATTTTATCTGGATATATCCCTGCAACAACTTCTCTAATTACATATAACATACTTTCTTACTTCCTTATTGATATTACTCCAAATCAATTTAATAAGATTGAATGTATGGTAGCAAACGTAGACCGAATCTTTTAGCCATCTCATCAACAACATTGGTTTAAGATTGAATCCTTTTAAAATAATTAAGATTTTTATTTTTAAAGGTGTGGAAAGAGTATTTTCCTGCATCCTGCAGTAGCCTGCGGCTATTATAGGAAACGTACGAATACAAAAAGAAGTGCAATGCATCATCCTACAGTGTGCTGAGGTCGTTATAAGTAAGAGTGCGAGTAAAATAAGAAGATAGAATAGCCCACAAATGTCTGGAAATGTCAAGAAAAATTTGAATAGTTCGAGAAGGTTCTAGAAGGTTAAGTCGAGCTATACATATAAGTCGATTATCCTGACGTCATAGTTTCAGTTTTATGATAGACGTTATACGTTAATATTATCAAATGAAATATTGTAAAAGTTAAATTAAAATAAGTTAAGATAGCAAAAGTCAGCGTAATATTGCTGACAGCGGTGGGATACAAAATAAAAGTTCATGGTAAATACTAGATCCACTAAGTACCAAAGAGATATGGATACTTCAGGCCCACCAGCATGGTTTTTGAAGAAGAAAGAGAAAAAGGAAAGGCACCGAAAGGAGAAAGAGGAGGAAAAGGAAAGGCATAGAAAGGAGGAAAAGGAAAGGCTTAGAAAGGAAAAAAAGGAGGAAAAGAAGGAAAAGGAAATGCGTAGGAAGAAAGACAAATAGAAGAGGGAAAGGCGAGAAGAGAAGGAGGAGAGGCATATAAAAGCGGAAGTGGAGATTATAAATGACTTGGTATAAATTCAAGAAAAATTCAGGCAAGAGGTTAGTCAGCTGAACAGTCGAGTAGATCTTCTAGCATAACAATAAGAGCAGCAGCAAAAAAACTTAATAACTACTTTAAATAATTTAAAAACTAACGTAGAACAGCAACAAGAGAATTTAAAAACTAATTTAAAGCAACAAGAGAATTTAAAAGCGAATTTAGAGCGACAACATGAAAAGGCTAGAATTGACTTGGAAAGGCAAATTAGAACTGAGTTAGCCGATAAATGTCCTAGTAGAAGAAGATATAGAAGTACCCCAAAATTCCGAAGCTGTCGTCTCGGCTTACGGCTTTCATGTGGATATTGTGGAAAGTGAAGAATCTGTGAGTGAAGGAATTCTAGTAGCTCTACATGTCTCATTAACGTAGATCAACTGATTTCATTAAGGATTGCCAATTTATCGAAAAAACTCTTTAAACTAAAGGGCAAAAAATAAGGCTCTATAAGCCGGTAGAAAACATAATCAAGTGCAAAGATGGTTCTACGGGGAAAGCCACCACAAGTAACCCAGTTGACGCCAACTTTGTAAAATGCCTAATTAAAAATTATGACTATCAAACAGCTGACGAACTTAGAAAAGTCAAAGAATTTATCAATACCAACTGTGACATTTTCGAAACAGGAAAATTCACGAGTCGTACCAGTCTTGTCTAGCATCAAATTTATACAGGCGATGCAAGGCCAATACTAAGAAGTAAAAAATATGATACAGGACATGATGGATGCAAATATTATTGAAGAAGCTTCTGGTCCCTGGTGCTCACCCGTGGTCCTAGTAACTGAGAAAGACGGATCTACTCGTTTCTGTGTGGACTATAGAAGATTAAATCAGATAACGCAAAAAGACAGCTACCTATCCACTCCCCCGAATAAACGACACAATAAACACTATCAGGTGCAAAATGATTTTTCCTTGCTAGACTTGAAGATCGAATACTGGCAAGTGAAAGTACACCCTGATGATCGAAACAAAACAGCACCGGATTATACCGATTCCAGGTTCTTCCGTCTGGTATCTGTAATACCCCAACCACCTTTGAACGACTAATGGAAATGGTTTTGAAAGGATTAACCTGGAAAACTTGTCTAGTATATTTAGATGACCTAATGATCATGTCAAAAACTTTTGATAAACGACCTGTCCAAATGGTTACCAGTGGGATCTGACAGTTTAGATATGGCAAACCTGTTCGTATTTGGTTCTAACAGGGCAATGATACACCTGGAGTTAGAAGGTAGGGAGACGCTATAAACATCTTTTTCAAACATTCAAAACGGTATCACTGGGCGTGGTTGTTGCCAATCTAATTTTTTTAGAAAATTAGGTAATATTTATTAATTGTTATAAAATGGAATATTAAGGTTAAAATAACTAATTTTTAGTAATTTCACTAATTGACAAAATAAATTTCAAGGAATAAAAAATGTGCAAGTGAAGATTTTAAATTATATAGAATAATTATAAAGCCTAGAAATTTTATTAATATATCATGATTTAATAAAACTGTTATGTTAGACCTTTGAGCATATAAGACTAGAGGTGTTACTTAAATGGGTTTGTTATGTACTAAGCGGAGTAACCCCTTCGGTGTTAGGTACACGACGCATTATGATTGGCCAGTTAGGAACAAGACGATTTATGATTGGCGAATTTAAATAACGCGCGTATTTGTGATAAATGACATTTCATTTGACGTCTTGTTTTCGTTTTTAAAAAGATTGTTTTTTGTGGCTTCCAAAGATAGTTTGGACGACGTGTCTCTTTGATAACCTTTTTAAGTGTATTTTTATTATAAAATAAGTGCTAATCATGCCAAAAGCCTGTATAGTTTGCAATAATAAATACTTAAAAGGATCCTGGTTGACGTTTCACAAGTATGTAGTCTATATATTATAAATGTAAATTAAAATGGGAAATAGGCAAATGAATAAGAAAATATGTTTGTAGAATGTTCTTTATTTGACTATCACCGTAACTGGTTGCGTTCGACAGAAAATAGTTGTTTTCTTTGCGATATTGCTTAATTTATGTCTTTTTGTATAATGTAAAATGGATTAGATATATTTTTGTATTCTATATAATTTATTTAACTGCCATTAATATTTTAAATCTGTTTTTCTACTTATTTCAGATTTCCGGCTGATCTCACAACCAAACTGTCAAGTATTTAGTTTGAG